CATGAAGTGGCTGTCAGTTTTCGATGATCGCTGTCTACGAAGGATTGCTCGGGTGTGGTGGCAACACCAGGTAAGCAACGCAGAGGTGCGAGACCGAGTGCTTGGAGCGAGTAGTACCAATCTTCAGAACGTTATTCTCTGACAGCGCATGCGTTGGCTCGGGCACATGTTGCGCATGCCAGCCCATTGCGTTCGACGTCGAGCGCTATTTGCACTCCCAGAGAGCGATCAGAAAATGCGCTGCAGTGGACAGCCAATGACGTGGAGAAGGAGCAGGAAGAAGGCAACCACAAGTTTGGCGGCAGTCGGACCAGTCCGCCTAACAGGTTGAGGACCACGGGATGCTGAACGTCAGTGGTTGGAAACATTAAATGTCATGGCCCGCAACAAACATCAGTGGCGTCAGTATTGTTCTGCCATTTTATCCCCCCTTTAATACACACAAAAAGCTCTCGAAACAAAAAATTAATGTGGCGTATGTAAAACCAAAGAAATGGTCTTCCATTCTTACGCATTTCGTGTTTCCATTTTCTCCATTTTTTCTTCTGCCATGGTCCTGATGGCACACTGTCTGTTAACAGACTGTGAACATATATATATATATATATATATATATATATATATATATATATATATATATATATATATATATATATATATATATATATATATATATATATGGTTGGCGGCATCCGGTTTCGGATTTGCCTGTCACTGTGACAAGCCACAGGACGCCTGCGCCTACAGAGGGACCATGGATGGCTTGCGCTGCACCACCCACAGCTCCAACCACACACCCCATATCCAGTGTAAACCCGAAGGAATAAGACCGGGGGGCATGTGGATGGGAACCACGTTTCATCAACGGAGCCGGCCTACACTCCTTCACAGGCAAACACAAGCACACTGTATTTGGGAATCAAGCGCACACAAGGCGGTGGCTGGACCGTAGTCCGCTCCACACTGACTGCATGGAACCACTCTTCGAGCCTAACACGGCCACAAGGACCGTGCACCCTGTCCCCTCCAGCAACGACCACCTGTCTCCTGGAGCCAGTATGGACGAGGTAGTGGGTAATAGATAGGTAGGCACCTTGTCAACATGCACATCAAGCGCAGCCACACCGGGGATATTAAACAACAGCCAAACATATGTGAGAGAGAGAGAAGGAAAAGAGAAAGACTAGATTGATGCATAAGGCAACAGTGATATAAACCTTAATTAAATAGCATATGTAATAAGTTGTTTACAAACAGATCCAATCTAAGTGCACGAGGTCAGGAAGTATAGTACACGGAATGCCACGAACACAAAAATGTTATGGAAATCGAATACAATTGGCTTAGGCGATGTGTGCAAGTTAATGAAATAGAGTACAGGGAGATATTTATATGAGAAAGAGAAGCATTAAGGTAAAAACTGTAAACCCACCACCTGAAATAAAGAGACTTAGCATGCAAGCACGCGGTTAGTAAATCGAATTCTGCGTGCCTACAAACGCTGCGCCGGCTCGCCCTAATTCTCTGCAGGACCCGTCGTCGCTTCTGTAGTGGCCCCAAATGGCACAGCTCCGGGGATAATTGTTAATTAAAACACCCAGCTCTTCACTGGAATGCAAAAACCAATGTGAAATATTGTAAGCAGCAAGCGCTTGATATATATATATATATATATATATATATATATATAATATATATATATCAAGCGCTTGCTGCTTACAATATTTCACATTGGTTTTTGCATTCCAGTGAAGAGCTGGGTGTTTTAATTAACAATTATCCCTGGAGATCAAGTACTCTACAACGCTTCCTCGCTTTCGTTGCAACTGTTCAAACGTTGGCTCATTTGTGTAAAGTGAACAATCCTGGCAAGTAACTGACTAGCGATTAACGTGCTGATATTGATACTACATACTTTGTACTGTATATTAGTCACGCGAGTGAGTGTACCTATATTTCCCGCTGTCCATCAGACGTACTGCACTTAAGTGCAATTCGGAAAAGGCAGCTATTATTTAGATAATAGGCGAAGCGGAAGGGCAAAGGTGTCCGCTAGAACTCATTAGAAATGGCCAATCCTCTGATTTGGCCTAGTGGTAGGTGAGTTCAACCGTGATGGTATGACAGTGTTTTAGTACATATACATTAAAAAATAAATCCACGCAGAAACAATTGATTTGTAGCGCAGCATAGCAGCAACCGAAATGCATGAAGACAGGTTGTTAGGGAATTGTAAGCGGTTAAATTACCATGAGAACCGCAGGCTGCATGCGAAAATCATACGTCCAGCTAACCACCTTCTCTGCGCCATCTGCCGAGGTTCTTGTCAACTGATATCTTATGTTGAATAACTAAGTGAAAGCCATTTAGAAACCCTTGTAAGCGACATGTTTCAGCTTGACAGACTGATCGTATATTCACTCGCGTGACACCATTATCTGTTGGCTCAATGTCTAACTGGAGCTCGCCGAAATTACAAGGCGCACTAACATCTGTTTGTGTCTCGCTACCTTCTCACTTAACAGATGGGTCTTATTACATTACATCTCGTGTGACACCGTGACTTATTGCGGGTTGCAATATGAGATCAATGTATCCCATCTTAAGTGCCTCATACGTCAACTTGTACTGCTGCCGCCTTCAGGTAAGCGCACTGAAAATCAGACAAGTCATCAAGGTTGATTACGGAACAGCGGCAAAACGATGTGACATCCAAATCAAAATGCTTGGGCACAGGTAACATTCTAGGCACTGATGAATTGGTCGAGATATATTAGCGGTCAGAACGAATGACCAAGGGGAAATAAATAGTAACACACGACGGACTGCCTGGTGGTTCCACAAGAGACGATCATAACCGGCTCTGGTTTATCTTCCGACACGGATAGCTTGCAGTTACTATAGGAGACGGCATTCACGGCATACACTAACGATTAGTCAACACTGTTCCATTGTGCTTATATTTTTCGTTAAATTGCGCATAGCAATAATTCCCATTCTTTCACCGCGGACTTGAACTTAGCTGAGCTTATGTATAGCAGTGGACTTCTTCGCACCATTTCTCTGCTAACCTGTATAGTTGCTTGCTCTATCTCCGTCATTTTCTTCGTGTCATCCTTATTCTATGGGTCATGTACGTTGCGCTTGGTTACAGTTTCACTTTGGAATGATTAACCACTGAGTTGATGCAAAATAGTATCATTATTGCAGCTGCCTAGAAGGATGAGTAACATCTAACCTACCTTTCTAGAGCTTACTTAACTCGGTTGTATTTCGCGATGACCACGTATTGCCCACTACACGGTTTTACTCATCATGATCTGTGATACCCTTGCTATCTTTTCTAGTGGAGTCTAGTACGGTTACATGACGAGACGGTGAGCTACGGCATCTTCCTGTTCGTACTATTATTCGGCCGCCATTCACATCACTACGTAAGCTCCATGCTATTGCTCACCAGAGTTTGCAACCTACATCCCGCTCCTTGAAATCGATTTGTAGATTACCTGACACTAGGTTGACCAGCAGCCCAATGCTAACTAGCACGATGCTTTGAGAGTCGATGCATCGCCGGATAAAGGTTCAGTCTATCCATGTGCTCATCCGTATTTGACGTGCGTGCGGGGTTTAAAAGCGAACTGTATTGTTGATACGGATCAATGCTAGTGTGGCAAATTATTGACTATGTTTCCAGTTCGGTAGATACGTATGAACCCAAAGGTTACAAGCGCTTGGCCGCTTACAGTACGAATAAAGTGCAAACTTTGACATCTGGAGCACAATGCTCAACGATTATTACTCGTGTGACTACATTGGACTATGCATCGGAAAAGAAAATCCGTAGCAAGTGAACAAGCCCGACAGTTAACCGACTAGCTATTATCATGATGTCGACAGTTCATGTTTCGCTCCACAGGTTAGTGATGAAAGTGAGCACAGCTATACTACCCGTTGTTCATCAGTCATACTGAATTTATCATCATCATCATTATACACGTCAGCTAGAGGTGGGAAACACCTAAGCTACTGCGCCGCAACACATAAAAGAAAAGAAAATGAATACAAGTTGCATGCCAGCTGAGCTACCAGCAACGGATAGGCATCGTTCCGGTAAGTTACCAGCCGGCTCCGAGGCAAAAAGAAAAATTATTATGTTTTACGCTATGAAATGAGATCGTAGATTGAGGGGAGGGGCTAAAAGGGATGGGGAAGGACAAAGAAACTCACAGCAGGAACGCCACTGAGGTCGGCTCCTTGAAATGTCAGCAAGTGTATCCAGCCAAACGTGTTTACCGTCTTTTGGACCCCAACCAGGGAGTCGTGACGCTCCAATCGAGGCAGGCTCCGAAGTGAGGACCTTCATTCCTCTGGATCAAGTCATCGCTTGGCCACCCCTCCTCTTTTTCCATCCACATCCCCGGTGAGCAAACAACGCACGTCGTGGAAGTCGGTGGGCTGAAATGCGCAACAAGTGGCCCAGCCATCGGAGCCTGGTGTGTGAAATGACGGTAGTACTGTATAACCCGTCTTCCGTGTTAGGAAAAGATTGAAGCAAGGCGCTCATCTAGGTTACCAAATATGTGTCGATAGGAAGTCAAATTGATCGAATCCGTCCCGTGGTCTTGAAGATCAGAAGCCTGCCTTGTAATCCAGAGGTCGCAGGCTCGAGCATGCGTAGGGAGCCGGGCGACCATCGCAGTATACTTAACTCACGCGCGACTAGTGGTGGCTGCGCGGCACCGAAACGCCGACACAGCGTGCCGGCGTACTGCTGAGGCTACACATGTAGACACAGAAAAAAAACCGTGAACAGGATGGTACAGGAGAAACTACTGACGCAGAATGATCCGCGTAAACAGGCAGCACCATATCTTCAGTAAATCAAGGAGAAACGTCATCTGAAACATGTTAGAAAGGATGAAGCCCTCAGACGAGACAGAACTAGCCGTGAAGTTTCACGGTGATATTACACGATATTGGTAAGAAAACAAGAGCGGCGATTTTCAGCACGATCAAACTTAATCGTTGAAACCGCAGGCAGACGCCCGAAATTTGCTTGCAGAAGATTGCATAAGTAGCAAAATTGAGTGCACGACATAATACGTGTGATACAAAATAAAACGATACAAGGAAGGTTGTATTTCCATGTACACGAAAAACAGCAAACGGGAAGCCTTTAATTTCGACTGTATAATTGTGAACATCAATGGGAGCCAGAATGCGAGGTGTGCTAGGTTTACCTCTTCAAGTTACAGAAGGCTCAATCACATATTCTTCTGCTAAAAGATTATTGCTACTATCAGTTGCACCTATTGGTGCGTTCAATCTTGGTTCGGAAAAAGAGGCAGCGGCCAACTCAGCAAAGGAATTAAGCGGGTCATCCCCGGTTAAAGTCGCCATTTGTGAGACTGCAGCAGATCGCTCATCAGTGTACAATCCTGGCGCAGGAGGATTGAACCCATGATTAGCAGGGGTCTCTGAAGTTGACAATCGAGAAGTGACCACTCGACGTGGAAGCCTGCTACCGGAAGCTCGGGATCCCAAGGCGGCGGTGCTGGACAAATCCATGTCATTCAGGTCTGAATCCAAATTAAGACTGTTAACAATACTGTACAGTGGAGATTGTACATTGCCGCGGCCAGCCGTTGGCCGTTGCGTTCTACAACCAGTTGTCGCTACCAGATCATCAACGGAAGATGGAAAGCTTTGTAAGCGCCTACCGGGTGGAGAAAGATGGCGATAAAGCTGGAGCGGAGAAAACAAAAAGTATGAATAGTAACTAGAAGCATTATATAATGTCCACCATAAGAACAATATGATTAACCAACAACAGCAGTATATCAACCATTTGAATTGGTGCTTCGCTACCATACAATCATGATGACCCATCGAATAAACAATAATAAGAGGGAGAAAAGGGAGGCTTACCTGAAAACCTTAATGCCCTAAGCAAGGTTTCAGGGTCACGGCGCCTACATCTTGTGCAGACCACATACCGTGACAAACAGCTGACTATGGTGTAACGGTAAAACGGCATCAGCGAGACAGCTTCCTTGCAGCTTTCACTGCCAAGCGTCATAATCAGCCATTATTCCATAGATAACCCAGCACCTAACATTGTAAACAGACAGTCCGATTAGAAGACGGCGGCAGACGCGCCACTGATGTCGACTGCGAGCTACATGTCCTGTAAAGTCGTCAGCCAAGCACAAGGTGGGTCAGATGGACTTCAGCTCGGAAAACGAGACTGACCGACGGCGCCCATTTTGGTCGTTAGTGACTTCATTTCACGCTGCCAAGTCAAGTTTTGTCCACGTCGAGCCTTGTGCCACCCTACATCTGGCAATCTAAACAAGGCCCTCCGAGGTAACCTGTGACCACGCATACGTAATACGTGCACAAGTCAACGCAACTTTTCAGTGCTATCTGTGGTTCTAAGGAAATAGCTTGGTTAACACTACCTAGTACTCGCATAGGCACATCATCATTGAGGACACACTGGTGTTATCCGACATCAGTAATGCTTCGCAGACAATGATGATCAAAGACTTGAGGGCTCCTCAGATCTTCAGACCGAAGGGCCAAGTTTCACTACCATGTAGCGGGATAGCCCTCCCTGTGGCGTTGTATACACGGCCTTTCAGGCGGAGGAAAACTCCCTTCTGTCGCCAAAAATGCCGCAGGTTCAAGAAGGCAGTTCTGGCTTTTGGGATGCGTGAACTGACTTTAGTTTCTATGCGCCCATCGATGCTGATGCAGCTGCCAAGGTAAGTGAACCGATCAACCACCTTGAGTTCCTCGTTAGCGAGGGTCAAGGGGCCATAAAGTGGCTGGTGGTCCTGCAGCAACACTGTGCACTTTGAAGGTGCGAAGTGTATACCAAATAATGGGAGCACTCTAGACGGGCTATTGAGGGTTGATTGTGCAGTCGCAACATCGTCGAAAAGCAAGACGATATCGTCTGCATAATGTAGGTCACCAGGAAACACTTCAATGCTTACATCGTGAGATTCCATGATAGAGTCCACAACGAAATGGTACAAAATGGGGGAAAGAATATGACTAAGCCAAGGAGATAAACGCCAATATTTCGTGTAGCATACAAATTACAAGGTGGTGCAAAGAATACAAGCAAGACTGAAACGATAAAACGGGAATGCACATAAACGGTATCCTACGCTCAGCACTGACCACAATGAACAGGACGCGTACGTAACAGACCGACAGTGCCGCTGAGTGACCGCGTCTTGTGCTCCAGGCCGTTTCAGTGAAAAACACTCGGGACGAGTATTGGCCATGCAAAAAATTTTCAATGGAGTCTTAATGTTTCGGTACCGCGTACTTACGAGTTAAGAATCGATTTCCGCTGAGGGTGCAATGCATTTGCAATCATGAAAAAAGCATGCATGGCAACTGTCAGGGTTGTATTGGAAACGTTTTCCAAGTTACTTAAATCCATCCCAAATTTGTCTCACAGGGATGGTCAGTGACACAAAACGGTCATCCAGGACGCTCCAACAACATCATCATGATACACGTTAGCTGCATGTGGAAAACACCTCAGCTATTGTGCCGCAATACAAAGGACAAGAAGAAAAAACAGTGGCATGCCGGCGGAGTCCCGGGTAACGGATGGACATCGTTCCGGAGAGTTAACAGCCGGCTATAGTGCTGCGAAAAATTAGATTATGCCTAACGAATGCGATTGTGATTGGAGGGCGAGGATAAGCACGAGGGGATGGACAAAGGAACTCACAACACAAACGCCAGTGGAGCCGGCTCCTAGCCATATCAGCAAGTGTGTCCAACCAAACGTGTTTACCGTGCTTAGGACCCAAGCCAGGCAGTCAGGATGCACCAAGCGACGCCAACTTCGGAGTGAGGGTTTTCATCTCTCTCGACCAAGTCATCGCTTGGCCTCCCCTCCTCCTCATAAAACCGCACCCCCGGCGCGCAAACAACGCACGTCGCGGAAGTCGGTGTGCTGGCATGCGCAACACGTGGCCCAACCATCGGAGCCTGGTGCGTGATATAATGGTGCTGAGCGGTTCACTTGCTCTTCCTGCACCAAATACGCGACGCCGAACAAGCCCAGTGCTCACGCAGTGCTCCCACCAAACCTGAGCTAAGCAGCGAAGGCAGTGATGATTGAATGTGACGAGCCTCTTTATGTCTGTCGACCTGATGGGCCAGGTTTCACAACCATATAGGAGTTGAACGGACGGCTGCGTTATAAACTCTGCCCTTCAGAGCCAGGTGGCAAAAGCATCTCGAGCTTTGCTATACGGTTCGTGACCTCATCTTCTATTCTATGAGCGCTAATATAGCTGCCCAGGTACTTCAATTACTGAACGACTTCTAGCTGATCAAAAAATCGTTAGCGCAGTGGTGAGTCCCTGCCAATCTTTGCATTTCGATGGATAACAAGTGACGCAAGGTGAAGAGGTAATCAAAGCAGCTCCGACCTAAACGAAATCCGGCTCGCTCTTCACGAATCTGGCTTTCACGAGTGCCAGTCAGTCTGTGGAGAATGACAGACGCAAGCAATTTGGAGGCCATTGAAAGCAGACTGATCCCTCTATGATTACCGCATTCCGAACGGAGCCTCCCTTGAAAATTGGGCCAATGACGGAGCGGCGGCAGTCTGTCGGGACTGTCTCCTGCTCCTAAACTTTCACTAGCAACTCGTGTAAATCATCTATTAGAGCAGGTCCCCCGAATTTGAAGAGGGCTAGGGGTATTCTATCTGACCCTGCGGCCTTATGCAATTTCAACAGCCTGATCTCATGTTCGACTTCTGCGCGTGATGGCGGATCCAAGAAGACGGCCCAGGGTGAAGGGCGCTCAATACCCGAAAAAGAAACCGATGACTCAGGTTGGTTAAATTGTCTTGCAAAGTGTTCAGCCCAACGCTCCAAGTGTTCTTACAGGCTGCGGATCGGCTGCCCACTCTCGTCCCGTATGGTTTCGCTAACATCAGGTCTCCTGCTGCTCGTTTCCCGTATCACACGGAATAACTTACGATGATTGCCAACGGTAGCGGCTGTTTCCTCTCAGGGGCACGATGAGACCACCACGCTTCGCGGTCTTTCTTCAGACTAGCACGTAGTTTTGCCCTGAGATCTTTGCGAGCCTCATTGTATTCGCTCCCAGCCGGAATATGTCGGCGAGCATCCATAAGTTCCAGAGACTGTGTAGAGACCCAATGTCCGGTTTGGCAATTTGCTTTGCCACATGAAGACATGCCTGCTGATACTAACGTTTGACGAATATACGACCACTGATTTTCGACGTTGTTAAGTGGGCGCTTACTCAGCCCGGATGTCAGCACACTTTGATACATATTCAGAACACCTAGCTTCGCCAGCTGGCTGGTGTCAATCCATTCACATCGACGTTGCGGACGTCCACCGAAACGCACCCGGAGGTGGGCGCAGACAAATGCATAGTCAGAGTCCACGCTTGTTCTCCAAATCGAGCGACAGTTTTGGACACAGCCTCTCCAGCGGTAACTGATCGCGATATGATCGATTTGCGTCCATGGCTGACCCGAGGCTGGTGGCCGCCAAGTCACGCTTCACTGGGTGCTATGTCGAAAGTTTGTGCTCGCGAGAATGAGACCAGCATCTTCACACAGCTGTAAAAATCGTCCACCGTTATCATTACGGGAGCCTGCACTATGTTGGCCGCTCAGATGAAGCTCATCAGGGAATAATTTTCTGACTTGGTCATCTAGATCACCAGCCAACACCACAGTATCCGTGCTTCGTCTGTAACGAAGGAGATCGTGAAGTTGGTGATAGGAATCATCTTTCACCGATTCAGTGCTACAGTTTGTAAGGGCGTAGGCCGCAATGACAAACGGGAGCCGTTGGTCCACGCGCGACTTGGTAACACGGAAGGAACCGGCTAATCTAACGGCGCACATCCGACCGTTGACTGGGATTCAATCAATCAGGGCAGCTCCAGCCCGAGGACACAAGACGATGCCGAAGCCAGCTTGACCAGCATTTGAAGCTGCATCATCGCCAGACAGGCGAAATGATAATGTGCCACAAGTGTCGCATGTGGGGGATAGCAGGGTAACCACGGAGCTCGAATCTTGCAGGCGGGTTTCTGATAAACGGCAAATAACAATCGACAGAGTCTCTAGTGTGCAATCATGTGTTGCCTGTTGGCCAATCTGTAGCAAAGTGCACAAGTTGAGGCATGCCAGCCTTAGCGAGACGCGAGGACTCAAAATGAAACGGATGAACTGACGTTGTCCGCTTGGTTGAACATGGACTTGTCGACTGGATTGGAGCGACGCCCTGTGACTGTGCGTGAGTTGAAACTAGAAGACAAGCGACTATTGAAGCAAGGTGGACGAGGGCCAAGAATCGAGGGATTGAAAATGGGGGGAAATAAAAGTAAAATTGGAGCGGGACGATAAGAGTGAAAAAGAAGGGAGATAAGAAGACGGGAAGGCCTGTGCAGTAGCATCCAAAACCCTATCCACCCTGCTCGATGCAGCAGATAGGGCGCCGTTGATTATCCTCTGCGACGGCCAGAGCATCAGGAAATTGTTAGTGGAAAGATTCATTGCACTGCGTGAGCAAAATACTGTCAGGTTGCCCAGGCCTTGACAGGAGAACGAGTAGGGTTGTCAACCAAAGACTTTGGTCCAAAAACCTTACCGCAAGGCAGCGGCCTTTTGTCAATGGACTACAGAGAGCCTGTTTTATGGAATAAGGAGCCACCCTCAT